AAACCAAGCTAAGGGTGGGCATTTATAGTAATAATAAGCCCATGTGTGGGGGATTTATTTAGGAGCTGGGTGGCAGGCCTCCAAAGAGTAAAGAGCCAAAAGAGTTAAAAGTAAACAACCAACAACATTTTGGTACCCAATGTGGGGCTAGAGTAAAGGAAAATCCAACTACAGGTAAACTTCTAACTCAGAGATTCTCCTGCCTCTGCCTCTTGAGTGCTGGGATTAAAGGCATGCACTATCATGCCTGCCAGCACTGATTTTTTGTCAGTGAGTCTCCCTGCTTTTAGGCCCAGGTGCCTTCTTTCCATCAGCAGTAGTTGATCATTGTAGGAACCCGAATTCAGTCGGATCCAGCTGACTTGCCCCATTCGTACCTGAGACGGGGAGTGTGGATTGAGAAAGGGCAGGTAAAGATACTAAAGAGAAGACAGACAGAATAGAGTCAGAAGGACAATCCAGTGAATATTGTCCCAAGTTTATCCTTCCATATTGTGATATACCCAAACCAAAAAGGAGAAGAAGGCAAAAGACATCTTTACCATGATACAAGGAACAGACTTACTTCCTTAATTCTCCAAACATTCAGAAACCATACCTTAGACTAAATCTCTTGTTTAGGTAAGACATCAATACCTTAGACCCAACACCCTTCAGTAGCTAAATCTTAGACATTTAGGTCTTATGTCTTTAACCTTGGAAGAGTAAGGATAGTTTTGAACTCTCTGACCTTAAGTCAAGATGAAGCAGAGTCATTTTTAAGGGCCCTGACAGATCATGTCACCAGCACCACCCAAGCATCTGAACTGTACCCCCTAACCACTCTGACTGGTTTAGAGACAGTTACCTGACCTAATTGTGTTAGTTTGAATGTAATTGGCCTCCATAATCTCATAGGGAGTGGCACTATTAGGATGTGTGGCTTTGTGGGAGTAGGTATGGCCTTGTTGGGGGACGTGTGTCACTGTGGGGGCAGGCTTTGAGGTTTCCTATGCTCAGGATACTCTCCAGTGTGTCAGTCAACTTCCTGTTGCCTGCAAGATGTAGAACTAAAGCTGCTACTCTAGTAGCATGTCTGCCTGCATGTTGCCATGCTCCCCATCATGACCATAATGGACTAAACCTTTGAAACTGAAGCAAGCCCCAATTAAATGTCTTCTTTATAAGGGTTGCCCTGGTCATAGTGTCTCTTCACAGCAATAGAAACCCTAACTGAGGCAGTAACTTTATTTATTTATTTATTCATTCATTCACTCATTTTTGTTTTTTTGAGGCAGCATGTCTGACTCAGAACCTGTAGAAGTAGTCATCTTCCTTCTTCAGCTTCCAAAATAGGTGTGGTGGTCTGAATGAGATGTTTCTCACAAATCTCAGGCATTTGAATATTTGGTGCCCAGGTGGTTGTTGGCCTTGTTTGGTGAGTCTTAGGAGGTGTGGCTTTGCTGAGAAGGTGTGTCACTGGGGACCAGCTTTGAAGTTTCCAAATCCATCCATTTCTAGAATGCTCTCTTTGCTTCTAGTTTGGGGTTCAATATGTGAACTCTCAGCTTCTCTACCAGCTACCTGATGCCTGCTACTATCCATCACCATCATGGACCATTATCCCTCTGGAACCTTAAATCCCAAATAAGACATTTATTCTACAAACTGCTTTGGTCATGGTGTCTTAATGCAGCGGTAGAAAAGTAATTAACGTAGTAGGTTGAACTGTCGGTGGGATGAGAACAGGAGACTGAATCTGGCCAGGCTGTTGGGGGGAGTGCTGGGAAAGGAGCAGTTCTGCCTCTTGTCCTTGATAATCAGTTCTGTCTTGGCCAGAAGCCTGGAATGTTCTTGTTTCTATGAGAAGATTGGCCCTAGTCACAGGCCAGGAATACCAACAATGTTTAAATGCACTGGGTTGTGTTCTAGTTTCCTGTTTTTTCTTCTTTCTCCTTTTACATAGTAACTTAATGAGCACAGCTGCCTGGAAGGTCTGTGTGGTCAGATCTTCATTAGGCCCTGAAGCTGTTCAGCAGACTCTGGCCAGAGACTGGGATGGATACATATGAACACCTCTGTGTGGGCCAACTGGCCTGTCTAGGTCACACCCCCATGTCTCAACCCAGTAAGTCCCTAACGTTAATAAAAAACCCTTAGATAGAAACCTTCTCCTAATGGGAGCTCTTCCCACCTCCAACCCAAAAAATAAATGAATGAAAATGTAATAAAAACTTTAAATTCTAACTCAGTAGTAGAGAACTGAATAGTGTTTTCCAGGGGTGGAAGTGGGGGCAGGGAAGGACTGATCACGGGTTACAGTATTTCAGTTAGATAAGAGGGATATAGACCAGGATCTGCTGTGAAATGTGGTAACTAGTTAAAATAACCAATGCTACTTACCAAAAGACTGGATTTTAAGTGTTTTCACTGAAACAGGCACTTAGAAGTGTTTTTTGTTTATTTGTTTGTTTGTTTTTTTCCTAACAAAGCATCAATTCCTCACATGGGCCCTGCCTTTTGTATTTTCTTATTGCTGTGAACAAACACCATGACCAAAGGCAGCTCTTACAAAAGAAAGTGTTTAATTGGAGGCAAAAGAGAATGAGATTTGCCTTGGCCTGGGCCTTTGAAACTTCAAAGCTCACCCCCAGTGACACTCCTTCTCCAATAAGGCCACACCTCCTAATCCTTCCTAAACAGTCCACCAACTGGGAAGCAAACATTCAAATTTTTATTCAAACCACCACAAACACCAAATGCACAGACACTAAGCTAAAGCAGCTTTTATTATCAACCAATGAGAGGAACATACATTCACAGTGTACAGAAAGGTTATTCCACAGCAAGAAGTCTACAAGTGGGGAGGTAGAGAGAATACTTAGCAATTAAGGGTGCTTACTGTTTTAGTAGAGGGCCAGTATCCAAATTAGATGGCCTGAAAATAACTGTAATTCCAACTCCAAGGGATCCAATCCCTTTCTAGCCTCCATGGGTTCCCGCATATACATACATACAAATAAAACAAATACTAAAAAGAAAGAAAAAAGGCCACAAGGAAGGTTTGGTGTGGTGGTTCAAGCCTACAATTCTCAAACTTAGGAGTATGAGGCAGGAGGATGGCTAAGAGTTAGCCTAGGCTGCATAGCAAGACTAGCCTGGGATATAGGTGAGAATTGTCTCAGAATAGGGTTAAGAGGATCCTAGGGGAAAGTAGACAGAAGAGCTAAGCCTCTCTCATGGCAGAGCAGGCCTGATATCGGTCTTCTGGGCTATTTTTACCAAGTCAAGATAACATTTAGTTGTTTGCTAGATTTCAAGTCCTGAAGCAGCTTGTGAAAAAACTGTTCCACAGGCTGTCATAGAGAGACTTGGCCAAGGAAGTCTATTTTTCATATTCCATTAGAGATTTAAATTTATCTCTGCCCCCATAGACCTTGTGTTTGTTCTCCTCTCCTGCTGTCTCTACCTACTGAGGTAGCTGAATAGTTTTATGATGGAACCCAGGGCTTGGTGCATGGTAGGTGAGCATTTCACAACTGAGCAACTTTGTCCTCTTTTCAATAGCATTTTTTTTTAACATCCAGTTTATATGTGTATATATAATCCTTGAGGCCTTGTGTGTGTGTGTATGTATGTATGTATGTATGTATGTATGTATGTATGTATGCTATGTGAGTCCAAGGGATTGAACTCAGGTCATCAAGCAGGCACCTTTACTTGCCAAGCCATCTTGCTGGCCTAATGACAAAATATTAAACTTGGAAACACTAAGCATCAACAATGAGTACTTGAGTTTTGGTAGTAACCTATGTAACAAAACTGTGAGATTTTAAAAGTTCTGCCAGTAAGATTATGTAGGGTATCGTTCATATTTTACCTAGCAGCCTAAGGGAGTTCTAGGCCTCAACTTTAATTAAATAGGATACACTACCATTTTGCAATTTATATTTTGTAAGGTGATGGAGCCTATCTGACAGGAGGAAATTAAAAAAAGCAAAAGCTTCATCATTCCCTATTTAGTTAGTACTGAGACTACCACTGGCTTGGCTGTGCACAAAATCTTTAGAGAGAAGTTAACAGGCTGGGTCCTAGAACAAGGACAATCACAAATGACCAGACATGGATACTACAGATAAAGAGACCAGGCTCAGAAGCACTCATTTAATGGTAAAATGTTACCACCGAGCTAACGCTTGCTCTCAGCAGAGAATCCTCACAATCACCTGTGCATTTAGAGGTTATTATGTCCCCGCACAAAGTCCTGCTCACACCACAAGCATTTAACTGTAAGGGCCAGAATCAAAAGTGGAGTTGTGCAGGACATGGTGCTGCATGCCTTTGATCCTGGTACTTGGGAGGCAGAGAGGGGGTGATCTCTGTGAGTCATGTGAGTCAGAGGACAGCCTCATCTACGTATTGAGCTCCAGGTCAGCCAAGGACAGTGAGACTGTCTCAGAAAACAAAACAAAATTAAAATTAAATGAAACCTTTGTTCTTGAAACGGTTTTGTTGTTCAGCAGACCAGGCCGGCCTCGAACTCAGGGAGTGCTACGACTAAAGGCGTGCGCCACCACCGCCCGGCTAAATGAAGTCTTATCTTCCCACCTCCCTTTTGATAGGGTCTCACTTTATAGTTCTAGCTGGCTATGTAGACCAGGGTGGCCTCAACCCCTATAGTTCTGCCTGCTTTGGCCTTCCAAGTCCTGGGATTAAAGCCACTACGCCCGGCTTGGAGTTGTCCGATTTCAAAATCGAGATTCTGTGTTCGTATGTGTGCACATTTTGGTTTTTAAAGAAATGCGAGTAGCACTTGTTCCAGGGCGGCTACGAGGGTCACGAATTTGAGGCCAGCGTTTGGCAACATAGCGAGTTCCTGTTTGAAAAAAAGGAAGTGAGAAGCGGTAAAGCCGAAAGAAACGAAAGCATCCCGCCGGGCTACTGGGGCTGCAACTGAAGGTATGGAATAAACCCGAGGTTTGAACAGGTGTAGGCGTATCCGCCAAGGCCTAGGAGCAATGACACATCCCGCCTCGGGACCTCCGGATGGCTTTCGGTCTTCCCAGCTGGCGGCTCCACGCCTCTCCGCGGCACACCTGCGGCCCATCACCCGCCCATCTCTACTACAGCCAGCCAGGCCGCGCCCTTAGTCCCGAGACACCTGGGACAGAGCCACCGCCCCGCACGCCGGGCGCCGCGCCGGACGCAGAGCGACGAGAGGGCGCACCAGCGCCGGCCAACTTTCATTGGCCTTCTCGGCTGTCAGTCGCCGCTCGCTTGGACGGCGGCCGGGCGGGGACTTCCGGCTTGGGAGGAGCGAAGGACCAAGGGCGGGGCCTCACGGAGGAGGAAGCAGGCCAAGCCGGGCGGCGGCTCACTAGGGCGAACCATGGACAGCCAGGGCAGGAAGGTGGTGGTGTGCGACAACGGCACTGGGGTAAGACCCGGCGGGGTGGCCGCGTATATGCGCGGGGTGCGCGTGGACCCTCGGCTGCGGGGCTACGTTAC